CAATACCAAGGGCGGTAATCACGATGTCAGCGCAGCGCAAGCATCGGGAGAGGTTGACCATGTTTCCGACCAACCTCCCTCTGTCAATGCTGGAGCTACTGCGCATATGCAAGCTCCCGGCCAGTCTATTCTGGTGAAGCGAGAAAACACCATCAACCCGGTTAATAGCCCTTCTGCTGAGTCAAAGACCGAAGGAAACTCCAATGTCGCCATGTCTGAGATTAAGGATATCGATCTTGACGACTTTATTAAGCGACTCTTGGATGCGGGTTATGCTGGAAAGGTTACCAAGAGCGTCTGTCTCAAGAATGCCGAGATTGTTGCCATTTGCCAGAGGGCTAGGGAAGTCTTGCTGTCGCAACCGGCTCTCCTGGAACTGGATGCTCCAGTCAAGGTTGTGGGTGATGTCCACGGCCAGTATACCGATGTTATCCGCATGTTTGAGATGTGTGGGTTCCCTCCAAACTCGAACTACCTTTTCCTCGGCGACTACGTTGACCGAGGTAAGCAGTCTCTCGAGACTATTCTACTGCTCCTCTGCTATAAGCTCAAGTTCCCCGAGAACTTCTTCCTCCTCCGCGGAAATCACGAGTGCGCCAATGTCACGCGAGTTTACGGCTTTTATGATGAATGCAAGCGAAGGTGCAATGTCAAAATCTGGAAGACGTTTATTGACTGCTTTAACACTCTACCCATTGCTGCCATTGTCGCCGGCAAGATCTTCTGTGTCCACGGAGGACTTTCACCTGCTCTAGTTCACATGGACGATATTCGAAACATTGCTCGACCGACAGATGTCCCCGACTATGGACTACTAAACGATCTTCTTTGGTCTGACCCCGCCGACATGGAACAAGACTGGGAAGCCAACGAGAGAGGTGTCAGTTATTGTTTCGGAAAACGAGTCATAACCGAATTTTTGGCAGTACATGATTTTGACCTTATTTGCCGTGCGCACATGGTGGTTGAGGATGGCTATGAATTCTTCAATGATAGGGTTCTAGTAACAGTCTTCAGTGCCCCCAATGTAAGTCACCCATCTCCGCATCTCCTCGGATAATCGGCTAACTCGTATAGTACTGCGGCGAATTTGACAACTGGGGCGCTGTCATGTCGGTATCTGCGGAGTTGCTTTGCAGCTTTGAGCTTCTGAAACCTCTTGACTCAAGTGCTCTGAAGAGTCATATCAAGAAGAGCCGAAACAAGCGACAGCACATGCTCAACAGTCCGGTATGGTCCACAGTCAAGCATCATAAAAACTTGTCTAATTTTTGTCACAGCCCGCTATGGTCCAGCCTCAGAGCGTGTAATAGTATACATTGCGAACACGAATCAATTTTTATGCCGCTTCCTCTATTAAGACACTCATTTAACAAATGACTGCAATCCGAGGGCAACCCGGACATTGCTGTCCATTTTTCACCAGAAGAGCAGCGCAAACAGATCAACTCTTGAACCAGAGTATGAACAGGTCCAGAATGGGCTTGGGTACCGAGAACAAGCACACTCAGTACACAGTTGCCAGTACCCGGTGTGACAGCCGCAAGGTCACGGTTCTGTTCCGAGTGACGGACGTAACTGTCCTAATCAAAAGACCTGAAATGGTTGAATCGGCACACAAGACCTAGAATAGTGCCGCTGTGTATAATTCGGAGTTTGGGAAAGGTTGGCCTATTACTTTAGGCACACTAGTAAATGACTGATTGGAGGATTGGGAAGGATGCCTTATAGAGTATCAAGGGCTTATAGCAAGATCCGAGATCTTGATTTGTGCATAGCACCAGGAATTGAGTACAAGCAGTTCCTATCAATATGTTTATGCTTTTATACATGCAGTGAATCGAATGTGATGATGATTGGCCAATGCAGGGTGGTGTGCTTAGTCATCGAGTGGCGACGAAAATTGATCGTCTAAATCACCAGCAATCAGCTTCACATCAGACAATCACCCCAAAATGCAACGCCACGCCTTCCGTTCGGTGTGCAGCCGGACAAGGCCAGAGCTCGAGCAGGCCTCGGATGCTTTTCGAAACTATGCTCGCCAATTCTCAACGACGCAGATTCAAGCCGCCGATGGCCCCGGTCCTACTACCCCGAGGCCGGCTCGAAGCCAGGCTGGTGGCCCTAAAATCATCGATATAAAGAGTATGCCCCTGCGCGGACGTGGGGGCCTCAGAGGGCGCGGCGATGCTCGTGGACGAGGTGGTCTTATGTATAGAGGTCGAGGTGGCTTTGGCAGGGGAGGCTCATCAGCTCAGGATCGATCTTCGACACCTGTTCGAACTTCTTCACCTACAAGACGAGGTCGTGGTGGTTTTGGTGCTAGCAGAGGAGGACGAGGTGCTCGTGGAGGCCGTGCCCGTGGTCGAGGTGGAAGGACCAACGATCGATCGAGGGACGATGAGGACAAGGATAAGAAGAGGATCGACCGAAATGAATTCAACACATTGGATCCCGACGAGAAGTCCTTTGACGACAACATTCGATTCGGTATCACATCTGAGTACAAGCCATCGCTCACACTCGAATCCATCAACGAATTTGCACCCGTTGCACCAAATACCCCTTCTGGAAAATCGGCTGCTGTTCTTCAGAACCTCAGTGTCCTTGGCACGGCTGATCACGTCGGCACACCAGAAGCTTTCCAGCCCAAATATTACGCCTCCGAGATTGAGACCCATGGTATTCGCTTCTTTGCCGACCCTCAAGCTAAGGAGGCTGCCGAGAAGTACCTCCAGGAGAAGCTAAAGGCTGAAGGCAAGGAATCCACGGGCCCCATTATTACCGACACCGAGGAGGCCATTCGTCAGGTCATCACACAGCGAGCTATTCAGGGTCAACATGAGACACCCAAGTTCGCTTCAGACCCTCTCGGTGTCTCCCGCTCATGGCATCTCAGGGCTGAGACTTACTCTGCTAACGATGTGAACTCCTTCGAGACGAAGTTAACATCACTGCTAGCAAAGAAGCCTGCTGCCGCAAAAGGTAGAAAGGCGCGTGCTTAAACAGATTAGATCTTAGGATCAGTGTACACTTGTCACGATATGTAATACTACAATATTTTGCATCTATCATACAATTGCCATCTATAGTTGACGGATGGTCTGTGCTTCTTCCTGGTCGATTTCCTTCATCTTCTTGTCTTGCACCTTTTGAAGCTCTTTCTCGGCCTTCTTGACGATGTCAGGCAGTACAGTACCTGTCTTCTTCCAGTCCTTGAGTGTCTTTTCATGTCTGGATCTAGCATTGCGAATGCGGTCCTTCCAGTGCTGTACTGTCTCTTTGATTCGTCGCTCGACATCATCCTTGCGCTCGAGCTCCACCTTGAGGAGGAGCTCAAGCTCGTTGTCCTCTGATCGCTGGGGTTGCTGGTTGAACTCGCGGCTAGCTTGCACTGCTGACATGATAGGCTTGATGTATTCCTTGTCGTTCACAAGCAGTGAAATAGCTCGACCGGATCGAGGAACGACCTGCGCCAGCTCTCGTAGAGGGAATGTCACATCTTTGCCGTCGTGATCCTTCATAGGCACAGGCAACGAGCCCAAATTGGTAGGATTGAACCGTCCACCATGTATCATGCCCGCCAACTGGGTCTTGAAGTGCGCATCAATAGGAGCATACGCAGCAATAACAGCTGTAAAATCGAGAGGATCTTCCGGATCCGGCAGCGGCACCTTTGCAGTATCGAATTCGGCCTTATTCATAGAACCCGCAGCTGCCTTCGCATTGGCACTGTTGGGGCTATTGCTAGGCGCCGTGATTTTGCGCTTCTTAAGCAGAGAGGAAGAGGTGCTGAAGGCGCGGGGTGTAGCGGCTATCGATTGGAGAGGAGCTGGGCTGGTTTGGTCAGTCAATTGCATGATGAGGAGAATTGTGAGATGAGACGTACCCCTCTGATCGCGCGAGTTGGCGCAGGCATGTTCGTAGAGGGCCATTGGCTCGTGACATTGCCATTGTGTTTAGTAGGTGCTGGATGATGGTTTTCTGTTGTTGGGAGTTTAAGTGAGGGTCGAAATTCCTGCACGACGTCAGATCAGGACCTGGTTGTGGGTGATAAGATAAGCACTGGTATTGAAACATCAAGATGGAGATCATTAACAGTAGTAGCTGTGAAAAAAAGACAATTGATAACGTACTGACTTGAATGTTAGAACATTCATTTAGTTGTTTCATAAGGAATTTCTATATGTTATAAGTAAGAGAAGCAGGTTATCTTGAAGCTGTTAGTGGTCTCACACAAGCATTAGGATAATTCTTTCTATCAAGCAGACAGCAAATCCTTAACACTAATACAGTTTTCTATGAACAAGCTCTACTCCATTGAACTGAGTCAACCAAACAGGTAGCGAAGATAAGGCCTAGTTTATTCAGGACTATTACCTTCAAACTTACTATCTCCAAGTCATTCTTTTAAAAGGATAGAACTTGTCAATTTCACATTTCTCTATACCAAGTTTGAATGAAAACTCTGCCTATTACGATAAGGAGGTAGGGATTACTTACTTATTTAATCAATAGAACCCCTCAGCGTTTTTCTAATATTGGAATCACTTAAAGTATTGATTCGAGTGGGCTTATGTTTTACAAGTGCTGTATTGTCTGCGCCGTTGTCTATTGAATCCTAGATAAAAGCAAACTGAAATTGTGTGATATACTCCACCTTACAAAAGAAATAGAGCAATACACCTACATTTTAATTACGGGTAAGTATTGAAATATATCTTTATGAATATCTATCGAGTGACCTAGATACGTTCGGTGAGCGCCTAACGCACTGTAGTAGATCCTGAGACAGCCGACCGTTATGTTTTCAATGCTCTCAGTACCAAAATACCTCTAATAAATGCCATAGAATGGTCTTCTGATTATTTCTCCTTTCGAAGTTTCGATTAAATATTACTCAGTCTGATTTATCGACTCAAAATTACCATTGTGTCATTTAGTCATCTTCTTACCATGGGTATTATGTCTTATGATAAGAAGGGTGGAATTTGTAACTAGGTCGTGTGGTGTAGTGGTATTATCATGTTTCCTTTACAACGTCGATAACGTTCGTATATCGGAAAAGGTCGCAGGTTCGAACCCTGCCACGATCAAATTTGCTTTGCATCTGTCCAGGCAGATGCCTCGTATTTTTGGAGATCTGAAGTCAGCATGAGTCGGTATAGTGGCGTTTGTTTTTTTCGGAGCATTACAACGTAGTACTCTTGCATATCGACCTCTTGTTACTTCTTAAGCGGTTGAATAAACCGTCATTCATGAGAATCAATAAAATCAAAGCTCAACAGCAGCGCCACTCTGCATTATTCCTTTACACGATAGCAATTTGAAGGCAGTTTTAGCCTTGAAGAACTGGCAATATTTGATTGGGACGAAGGAAGAAGTCAAAGAGGTAGGAAATCTTTGGCCGAACCGTTGTGAAGTGCCATATTGGTCACTGTGTTGGACATGCTCTCGTCGAATCGCTCTGATATTCTCGAATGAATGCGGCGGCGACATGTAACTCATCTTCAATGAATAGGAACCATCGTTGAAACATAGATTATTTACTTCATGACCAGCAACCGTTGCCTCTGCTCATCCAAAGAAAGTACCTGGATGCAGTGTTTGCTCTGCTGGCGGCAGCTTCATTCTTCATTACATGAGCTACCGAACAAAACTTCCGCTATATGTTCTACTTATCAAATTATGACTGAAGAGGCTTGCCCATTCCTCCATATGTGATCATCTTTGTAGTCTGATATTCCCCAATTCCGTACAGCGAACCCTCACGACCGAAGCCGCTCTCCTTAACACCACCGAACGGCGCAGCAGCATCAGAAATAATACCAGTGTTGACACCAACCATTCCCACCTCAAGAGACTCGGCAATGCGGTGCACACGTCCAAGATCGCGAGAGAAGAAGTAACCAGCCAGACCCACCTCAGTGTTGTTGGCCATCTTGACTACCTCCTCCTCTGTCTCGAAGGGGAAGAGACCAGCAACGGGTCCAAAGGTCTCCTGGGAGGCCATGTCCATCTCAGGGGTCATGTCGCGAATGACTGTGGGTGCATAGAAGTTGGAGCCAAGGTCGTTGAGTCGCTTTCCTCCGATGGTGATCTTTCCACCCTTCTTCTCAGCGTCCTTGACATGAGCCTCGACCTTCTCAATAGCTCGGTCGTGGATCAGAGGTCCATGAGTAACCCCCTGGTCGAAACCGTTACCTACACTGAATGCCTTGACCTTTTCAGTAAACTTGGACACAAATTCATCGTAGATGCCGCGCTGGACGTAGATTCGGTTGGCGCAAACACAAGTCTGTCCTGAAGATCGGAACTTGGAGGCGATAGCTCCAGCAACAGCATCATCCACATCAGCATCATCGAAGACGATGAAAGGAGCGTTACCACCAAGCTCCATAGAGAGCTTCTTGAGAGTACCGGACGATTGCTTCATGAGAAGCTTCCCGACGCCGGTGGAACCGGTGAATGAGACCTTTCGGATGGTAGGATCAGAAGTGAGAAGTTCGCCGAGTTCGGGGGTATTCTCGTGTGAAGTCACGACGTTAACAACACCCTTGGGGATGCCTGCACGATGTGCTAATTCAGCCAAGGCGAGTGAGGTAAATGGTGTTTCGGCAGGGGACTTTGCGACGACTGTGCAACCTGCTGCCAAGGCTGGTCCGATCTTTCGCGTGATCATGGCGGCAGGGAAGTTCCAACTAAAAACGTCAGTCATGAGTCTTGCGGGACTGAAACTATCTTACGGTGTGATGAGACCGCAAACTCCAACTGGCTCCTTGATAGTCCAAACACGGTTTCCAGGGACCGAGCTAGGAATAGTATCACCATATACTCGTGGCGCTTCCTCACTGAACCACTCGAGAAAGTTGGCAGCATAAGTTGTCTCGCCCTTGGCATCGGCAATAGGCTTTCCATTTTCCCAGGTAATAATCTTTGCGATATCCTCAGCGTTGGCGGTCATTTGATCATACCAAGCGCGCAACAGCTTTGAACGCTCACGGCCAGTCTTGGCGCGGAATGAAGGGAAAGCATCTGCTGCCGCGCGTATGGCTAATTGGGTATCTTTGGAGTTGAACTCGGGGCATGTACCGATCAGTTGGCCAGTGGAAGGATCTGAGCTGTTAGCATATGAAGGCGATAAATGAGAGATTGAAGCTCACCATGAACTTCAAAAGTCTTGCCGGAGCCGGCCTTGACCCATTCGCCATTGACGTAACAAACATCATGCTTAAGAAGAGAAGGATCTTTGAGCTACACAGAGTCAGTCATATGATCAAACTGAAAGATCACTGAGTGTGTACCTTTGGAGGAGCGACATTGGAAGCTTTCCTTGTAATCATCAATGAGATGACTGCAGATTGTCGTAAAGCACCTCGCGAAGGAGCGGCCAATCGTTGATGAAGAAGAGCCATCTTGATATCCTGACTCACTACCAACTGAAATCTAATCGATAGTATTATCAATCAATTGAATAGATAAAGTATCGAGAATTGGAGTTTTATTGTTGCCGATGACGGATCAAGGTTGGTGATGGCGGGGTGACGTCTTGTTAAACAATGAAACCTGAGCTTGTGTGGGGTTGACTAAAGCTCCCGGAGCCGGTATCTCAACCACTATCGGCTCCGGCGGGACCGGCACCAGAGTTCGGCTTCTTATTATCAGAGGCCGAGTAATTAACCTCAAATAGTTCAAGAATAGAGTTGTATCTGGAACTTTTCGCCGTTCTTCAGCCTAGAAGCATTGGCACCGGCAATCCTTGTGGATCTATTCAAGCTTTCGTCGTGGCAGTGTTTACGAAATAAGCAACTCTTCGCGAAGGACAATTGATCTGACTGTCAGTGAATTATCATGTTCATATATAACAGTTAATGGAAGTTGAGCCTCGTTGGGCTATGTATGTTCCTTGGTATATCATCATCCTTAACTCCAAACACCCAATGCTAATTAATGATAGTGGCCTTTCATGATATATCCCACTTATTTCGTCCCAATCTTTGTTCAACCATATCTGTTTTGCTGAGATCGTAGTGGCAGTTGGCGATCCAAAGTGTGGAAAGCCTGTGTTCGAGGAGTATATGGCATCGCTCGAAGGCTGGGACTCTTCATGTTGTGCATTTCCCATACGCCACCCTTCGGCTCCGAAGTCGTGGATCCATCTTCCTCATCGTCTTCATCGGAGACATCGTTAATTTTGTTGGGAAGCATAGCGTATATGCAGAATCCCAAATTACATACATAAATCACCCTACATCTCTGTTAGTAAAACTGAGGGACTTATAGAATCTGTATCCTAAATCACTTACATCAAGTAAACAGCGACTACAAGCGAGTATCGAGCAATCATACAGCTCTTGTACTTCCCGTAGGGCTTAGCAATATCGCATCCAATACGGTAATACCAGGCTGCAGGCGCGGGGTATCGCGAATCGGTATAGTCAGGTCCAATGGTTCCGTAGACGCAGACAGTGTAGAGGGTGACCATGCTAGTATTAATAAAAGTGGCAAAGATGGGATACCAGACTTTCATGATGAAAGCAGTAAGCTTGCCGAGAAGGAAGAAAAGTGAGATAATCGAGATAGCGACGTTGTAATCAGTAAAACTGTTCATGTTAGTCTATCCCTCATACAGTTAAAAATATACTCACGTTCGTGTCCAGATGAGAGCTACCTTTGGCTGAGGTCGATGATTGGCATAGGCATAGAGAATTCTAGCTGGGTTCGAGTTGAGAGGAGGATCATGCTCCCAGCCAATCTGCCACATGTCGGTACGGTAGAGATTTGGTTGAGAAATGCCGAAGATGACCAGAGCAGGTACAATTCCAATCAGCTCAAGAGGCATTAACCACCAAGTTCCCTTTCTCGATATGCGAGGCCATTTTCGGAATAAGATGCGGTAATTCCTGGTCTTGGCAGGTTTATCTGTGTGCTCTTGTTGAGAGCGTTTGAAGGCTGGGAACTTCATATTGTCGGTTAATCTGGTTTGACTGCTTCGTAATGTTGGAGTTCAATGTTGCGCTTGTCGGCTGCTGGTAGCAGCTATAAAGTGTTCCACATGCGATATCGTACAGAGTCTTAATTGAGACCGTCAAATTCGTCTTTGCTGACCGGCAGCTCAATTCAATAAGGATGTAAAAAGCAGTCCTGGGCGGCCAGGTCGGGGTGGGCAGCCGTTTAAGGGCCTGGGAGGTGGCCATCAGCTGAGAGGGGACCCCATGTTTGACCAACTGTGAGAGGCTCTCGAAGTGAGAAAAGCCGCCGTGATGCTGCGTGAAGGACCTGTAGCCAGCCTGTGAGCGGGCGCCTGGAGTGATACTTTGATGGCAATCACTGCATCTCGAGGATAAACATCAGCGGCGTGGGCCAATCATATCGTAGAAGTGAGGTGCTATCACCACTTGTCTCCTCTGTTAAGCGCCCGGGTGGAAATCATGAGATGCCCGATGGTGATGGACTAGCCCGATTGGTTGAGTTGGTGGTTGGAGATGCAACCTCATGTGGCTGGCTGGCCAATCAGAAAACAATAAACCAGTTGAAGATGTGCCCTCGAGTGAGTGCCGCAGGGATTAGGAACCGCCAACTCTTTGCCGTTCAAGTGCTCGCAGATTCAATTCCTGGTGATCTTCCTGGAGACCGGCAAGAACGGGTATTTAATGTTGGTTCTTGGCCAGATTCGTCAAGATTTAGCCGCCCGTCACCATCCATCAGTCGAGTCTCTATAGAAATGGCCTCAGTGTAATATCTCGACATACCGATTATCCGAGATTGAGGCTGATAACAGTCACGATGCACTACATAGTATGGAAGGTTCATTTGTGAATATCATCAGGGAGCTGGCGGCTAATAATAGCAAAAGTGATGAGATTGCATAACCAACAGATCACTCTGAAAGAGTCGCATCTCCAAAGGAAAGTCGTGTCAAGCCATGGACAACTCCAGTTTGAATTCGGTGATCGAATGAGGGCATTCCCAACCCTTACTAATGTGTAATACTCAGACTTAGTAAATAGCCTCTGGTCCGGGCTTCGGAACAGACCGTACCATGTGCTGTGCCCTGACTATGAACGATCTTTTACAAGAGTTAAGGTATAAAGAG